TAGATAGATAGATAGATAGATAGATAGATAGATAGACAGACAGACAGACAGACAGACAGACAGACAGACAGACAGATAGATTTTGCATAGTTGAGCTCTGAAAAATGAGGTAGATAGGCTCAGCTGAGAGGAAATTATGAAATCAGGGTGCAACTGCAGGGGAAAAAAAGTCATTGGGAAGAACTGCCCACCTGTCTGGTTCTACCAGACCCAGCAACTGCCAATTGAAGAATTGTATTTGAACCTTTCCTCGCCAGCATCCCTTGCTCTGGCAAGAGAAAGTATGGCTGGAATAATGATGAATTGTCCTGACTCTCTTCACTGTCGGCTGTGTTTTACAGTAGCAGAATCAGCAAGATAAAGTTACATAAATCACCCCCTGGGATGAGAGAAGGCCAGCATTGTGGGGAAAGGGGATGACATTGGAACTGCCAGGTTATTCAAGGGGCTCTGTAAATAACTCATGAGGAAAGTTCTTAATTAGTGCCAGCCTCAGAAAGAGACAGGAAGGCCATTCCCTAAGAAATGCTCTCCCAGCAATAAACCTTGAAGCACAACACAGCATTCTTCCCAGATTACCTATCTCTGAAGCCATTATGATTCAAATACAATACTTTGAAGGATCAAAACCACATAATACTGAAAAATGACTGAATTATTAACATAGACATGTGCGTTATATTAGGGGTTCTCAAGTTTTGGAATGCCATGACACTGTGAAATGATACAATGAATTTGTGTAACCCCTGTACATAAAAACAAATTATTTGAGGCAGAAATAAATATGCCACTTATTTTGAATCGTTACACTTTAATCTACATATCAAATAAAGTAATGACAGGCCTTTAAAACTATTTCATTGGAAATAAACAACCCCCCACCCCCACCCCTCAATAAAATTTAAAACCATTATTTTAATAGAAAGGATGAGGTTGTTTACTTTTGCATAATTCCTGACATCTGGGTTTCATTTTAAAGATAGGCACATTCATTCCACCATAGTCAGAAAGAAAGAAAGAAAGAAAGAAAGAAAGAAAGAAAGAAAGAAAGAAAGAAAGAAAGAAAGAAAGAA